GCAGCCCGGGCAAGCCAAAAGGCTGGGCACCCACAGATTAGCTGCTGTCTTCCCACGGAGGAAATACACACCCATAAATAGTGGAGTTCCTGGCAACCGTCGGCGTGTAGTTTAGCTCCCATGCAGACCTGGAAATTGCCTCTGCCATTAGCAGCAGAGCATTTGTGCCAAAAGCAGGCAGAGGACGTCTTCTTCAGCGGCTGGGTAGAAGCACAGGAAAGTCCTAGCAAACACAGCCTCATCAAGGTTCTGGTGTGTTTTGTGAGCAGAAGCGGAGCAGAGGGGCCACTCTCAAGCAAGTCACTGCTGTTGCCCGACTGCACAGCCCTCAGGCACTGCCCGCGTCTCCTCTCCCCTCCTGCTCTCTGCCTCCTGCTCCTTCCTTCTGAATCCACTCCTGGTGACCCCCAGCTTACAGCAAGGGAATGCCTCTCTGTTTGCATCGTTATCATTTTTGGTTAAAATCACGGGAGCGCAACTCAAAGAAGTTCACAAAGCTGTTTCTGCTGAAAGAGCAGGCTCCCCATCTGCACCGCCCCAAGCTGGAAAGCCCACCTTGAGAAACCATTTCCTGCACTGTCATGATCAAAAACTAAATCTTGACACCCAGCCGAGGTGTCCTGTAATTAGAGGCGGTACAAATCACTCTCTGGTGCCATTTTGCGTAGTTCTGATTTTAATACCCGATTTTAATACCCTCCAGAAAATAGCTCTGGGTCTCCAAAGTGATTATTTGCTCCAGAACAGTCACATTTAAACTCTTATCATCAGACAGTCCCTGTTCTGACAACTCAAGAGCAGAAACAGGTAAATATATATATGTATATATATTCAGTGCTGGAAGTTCTCCCAGTGCGTATGCATGACAAGCTGGGACACCCAGGAGCAGCGCAGACCCGTCGGACCACGCTGACATCACAGTCATAGTGAGGCACTGTCACACTTTGTCGCAGTGCCTGGGTGGACCCTCAGCCCCACAGGGCACCTGTGGAACCACTGCAGGTTTGTGAAGGTCGACTGCAGGCACGCTTTCGTCCTATCCGGACCAGCTAAGATGCCAAACACTGACAAAGACAAGAAGCTACTCCACAAGCTGGGCTTCACGCTGGCGGAGACCTTAGGAGAGGGTGCGTTCTCCACGGTGAGGGCGGCCACCTCCCCCAAGTACACGGTCCCCCTAGCTATCAAGATGGTGGACAAGCGAAGGGCCTCTCCAGAATGTGTGGAGAAGTTTCTGCCCCGGGAGCTCTCCATCCTGCGTGAGCTGGATCATCCCAACATCGTGCTCATCTTTGAGATCTTTGAGCTGACCGACGGCATGGTCTACATCGTGATGGAGTCGGCAGCCTTCGACCTGCAGCAGCGGCTGCAGCAGCTGGGCAAGCTGCCCTGCGTCCCCGACGCCCGGGACATCTTTGTGCAGGTGGTGGGGGCCGTGCACTGCCTCCACGACCGCAACATCGTGCATCGTGACCTCAAGTGTGAGAACATACTGCTCAGTGCTGATGGCCGCCAGGCCAAGATTGCTGGCTTTAGCCTCAGCAGGGAAATGAGCAGCTACCCAGAACTGAGCAGCACCTTGTGCGGAACAGAAGCCTACATGGCCCCGGAGATGTGGCTGCATTACCCCCACGATGCCAAGAAGTTGGACATCTGGAGCCTGGGGGGTGGTCCTTCTTGCCATGGTGACTGGCAGCTTGCCCTTCCACGGCTGCCTCTGCAACACCATCCAGCATCAGAAGGATGGGGTCCAGCACCTGAGGGGGGTGTCCGCGCTGCCGGAGCCCTGCCAGGCCCTCCTTGTCCAGCTGCTGCAGTTCTTACCATCCTCCCGGCCCAGCGTGGCGCAGGTGGCCAGCAACAGCTGGCTGAAGGTGGATATCTAAGGGGAATCCTCCCCAGAGAATGTGTCAGGACAGCCAGCTTTTGGTGCAATAAATGCTGTTGAAGAAAAGCTCTTGAGCAGTTTGACTAGCAGGGCGTGGGTGGGATCAAACTTCAAGAGCTGGCAAGACTTGGTCAAGAACTTGGTCAAACCCCTTCACAAAGCAGATGAATAAACCTGCCATCGGTTAGGCTTCAGGCTCTGGTCGCTGTATTGAGTGAGGGGTTAGAGCACACCACGGAGCTGCTCGCATAGCAGTGGCTGTCTGAGCAAATAGGGGCACCAGGCCCAAGCTCTCCCACTGATCCAGCTTTGGTAGGGCAAAGGTCTTGGTCTCATCTTGGAGCCAGCGTCTCAGTCTCGGCATGCCTGCGCGAGATCAGCTTTAGCAGCTGTCTTGACGTTGTCTTTTGTCCAGCACACACGTAGAGGATGGTGACCAGAAAGATGGTAGACATTTATGGTCCTGTGTTTCACCGCATTCCACATGTCTAGCCACATATCTCCGTCCCACACTGGTCAGGCATGAATAGTCCACTGTTGGGTGGCCCACTGTGCAATCCAAGGGCTGAGCCTGAAGGCAAAGTGGGGGGACGCATAGTAGCTGCATGAGCCTCCTGTGGCTCCTTCCAGCTTCTTGCAGCCTGAAATCCTCTGCAGAAGGGCACTCAGGCACTTCCTTTCAAAGCACCGGTCCTTTTCCCACTTTGTGTCCTCAACAGATGCAGTTGTTCAGGAGAACATGGTGGTGGAGAGAGATTTAATAGGGCCTGGGATTTACAGCAACTCATTCTATATTAGCTTTGTCTTTGATGAAGAAGAGAAAACAAAAGGAGCAGCCGTACAGCTGTTCCGGTGCTGGCAGAGCTCAGAGAAGACCCCCAGAGCATAACCCTATGTGTGCTTTGGAGTGAGGAAGGCTCCTCCGGGAAATGTGTGTCTTAAATGTCAGAAGCGTGTAGTGGAAGATCTCTGAGCCCACCTTGTGGAGACTTTTGAAAGCTCACGAGATGGCAGTGTCAGACCCAGACGTTAGTTATTGTTTGTAAGCGTTATTTTTATGGCCAAAAGCAAGAATAAAAACTCTTAGTCACTACTCTGTGTTTCTAGAGGAGCATTTGTACTGATAGATTCTCTACCTGTACTCTCCCCACCGGTGGTTGGGTTTCACCATCACTGCACACGAAACTGGTTTTTTGGCAGGCAGGAGCAATGTTCCCATACTAAAATACAAGGTTTGTTCTTGAACAGCTAAGAAGACTTCCATCAAAGTAAAGGCATCTGTTTGTGTTAATCTCAATTTAAGTATATATTGCATTGCTGTTTTTTCTCAATTCCGTGACTTCCCCTACAGAAAAACCTCTCTGTGTGGCCTTGAATTGCATGAGGGCAGAATCTCACTTGCTCTTTACCATCTGGCAATATGGTTTTCATATGCATGATGAAAATGATTGCTCAGTCTAGAGAGCAAGCAGTGACTTCATTTTTTAATGACAACTGTGGATTCTAAGATTAATTACAGAAAACAAGAATCTACAAAATTGATCACAGAATCACAGAATGGCCTGGGTTGGAAGGGACCTCAATGATCATGAATCTCCAACCCCCATGGTGGCCACATGCAGGGCCACCAACCTCCACATTTAATACCAGCCCAGGTTGCCCAGGGCCCCATCCAACCTGGCCTTGAACACCTCCAGGGACGGAGCTTCCACAGCCTCTCTGGGCAGCTGTTCCAGCACCTCACCACTCTCGTAGCAAAGAACTTAGGATCTGATCTGTGTCCTTACTGACATGCAGGTTTCTTTTTATTCAGATTGGAATGTGGATTGGGGATCCGATCCAGGCCTATAAATATCTAAGGTGTGGGGGGCAGAGTGGCAAGGCCAGACTGTTTTCAGCAGTGTGTGGAGACAGGACAAGGGGAAACGGCCAGAAACTGTAGCATAGGAAGCTCCGTGCAACCGTGCGCAAGAACTTCTTTAGGTGAGGGTGACGGAGCACTGCAACAGGCTGCCCAGGGAGGTGGTGGAGTCTCCTTCTCTGGAGATGTTCAAGACCTGCCTGGACACCAACTTGTGCGACCTGGTGTAGGGAACCTGCTTTGGCAGGGGGGTTGGACTCAATCTCTGGAGGTCCCTTCCCACTCCTACAATTCTGTGATTCCCTATTAAAGAACAATAAATTCCCGCAGATGGTAATAGAATTGAAAGAAAGGCAGAGACGTCCAAGGTGCTTCCACTGTTTCAGAAGCTTGAAAGGTGGAAGAACAGGCTCTGCATGGCCTCAGGAGTTAGCCCTTTGGCACAGCTTCAGCATTAGGTAATGATATTACCATTTAGTTCTCGTCTTCAAATGGCTGCACTAGCAGTATCTAGGTGGTGCTCACACCCCAGTCAGTAGGAGATAGCCCTGTTTCTATCAGTACAAGTCCAAAAGGTGCCATCGAGAGGGAGATGTGCAAAACTCCCAGGATCCGGCTGGCTTTCTGGGCTGTGAGGGCACAGTGCTGGCTCATACCCATCCACCAGTACCCCCAGGTCCTACTCAGCAGGGCTGTACTCCATCCTTTCATCCCCCAGCTTGTATTGATAGTGGAGGTGCCGTGACCCAGGTGCCAGGCCTTGCACTTGACTTTGTTGAACCTCATGTGATTCTCTGCTCGGGCTGTCTGGGTCTCTCTGGGTGGCATCCTGTCTGTTGGACGTGTGGCTGCAGCAGACAGCTTGGTGTCATCTGTGAACTGCTGAGGGTGCACTTGATCCCACTGTCAATGTCAGTGATGCCAAAGAGCATCCATGTCAAAGAGCACTGATCCCAGTACTGAAGGACACGGACTCTGCAGGTTGTTAGCATCTTCTGCAGGTGTACACAGCCATGTGTGACGCCATGTCCTTGTCATGGAGCTGGGCTCTAGGCAAAGGATGGAAGCTTTAAACAGGAGATTTGTCTTATTTTCATACTAAATTCACATCCTGGCTATTTACCTCTGACAAAGTGTTCTCCCCAGATTTTGTATGGCATATCAGAATTATTGGATGACATCTTATGGCCACATTTATAGGAGATAATGCATAATGAGCTCTTTTAGCCTTAAAATCTTTAAATTTGATTAACCATGTTAAACAGTGGTTTTAAATCACTTTCTTTTCTCCATGAGCACTGTCGAGGAAGGTCTTGGCATTGAAATAGCCATTATTTAAATGATGCCCTCAAGCATAGGAAGATACAAAAGCAGCAAAATACTTGAAAGGAACTTACTGATTTTGAACTGCTATATAGTTTCTTGTTTTTAATACGTATAGTTGAATGGAAAAGCACATCTTATTCTCTGTCTGTGCTAAGTCAATCAGGTGGATACTAACATCCTGCTAGCTGCAGCAATTCTGCTGAAATTAAACTAACATGCCACATCTTTAAGGAGCTTGCTTTTGCCAGTCTGAGCCCCCAGCATTTGAATACCGCAGGCTCAGCAGACGCTTTCAGACTGCGTAGGTACGAAGAACCCTTGCGAGCAGCAGTGACAGACAGCCCTGTGTCTCACAGGCAACCCCTGATGGGAAGCCGGCTTGTTGGGCACTGCCTTGGTGTGACTTACAGACATAGATGGTGTCTTGGCTCCCTGGAGCTGTGGTTCCTGTGAACGTCTGAGGCCCTGCCTCTGTTTCTTGTTCTTTCTTCTTGTTACCTGCAGTCTGGGGCTTCAGGAATGCTCCTGGTGTAGCATTTATTGACAAATAGTAAATAGTTACTGTTACTAGGTGGAAAGATCTGGGAGGTTCTGTTGATGTTACTGTATTAAGGGAGGAGGAGGAAGAGAAAAGGTAGAGATAGCAGAGCTTCTGAAAGGCCCGAATAATGATGACTTTCATGAGATGCTTTCTTGAGCTAAACATTGACATCCTTTTCTTTTGAGAGGGACAGTCAGGTTTTGAAATAGCCAAACCTCCAAGCAGATGTTTGCTTTGCTGTGCTGATATCGAAGCAGGAGACCCTGGAGCTGTGTGTGCAGAGGTCAAATGAATGTGTCTGTGAGGTACCTCTGCAGCAAACTGGAGTTATTCATGTGATCTAGTGGAAGAGATATGCTGGGAATGTTATGCCCCTGTTCCTGAGGGCCTGTGCAGGGCAGCCCGAGGGTGCTGCTGCCCTGGGACCACAGTCAGATGCAGAAGCTTTATGCCTTCTGGTGCAGGGATGGGAGCAGTGCTAATGGCCTGCATGTGTGAGCAGGGAGTAATGCGCACTGCAGGCAAAAGGGCAGAGCACAGAGGCTGCTGCACCGAGATCAGTCATATCAGATTTCGGCCTCTTTCCCTTTCCAGCAGATGATGACACTGTTGTTCTGTTACACAGCTGCTCAATTTGGCCGGCCCTAGCATGCTGTCTGGGTCCTTTCCATTCCCTTTGTATGTACCAGCCTGCTGCTGGCCTGCTGGCTCACAGCCTTCTGCTGCTGCAGCTGCTGTCTCACAGCGCTCAGTGGAGCCCCTGCTGTCAGCAACCAAGCCACAGTGCTGCTGAGCTCTGCCTTTTGTTGGCTTGATGGGCACCTGTCTCATGTACAAAGGCAAAGGTACTGCTCTGCTCCCTAGTGCTGTGGTACAATATGGTGTACCACCGTATGAGAGGGGCATGGGTGGAAATGCACCTGGGGGATCGCAATCCCTCAACCTGGTGCTGCTCCTGTCTCTTGCAGTGCTGGTGGATGTGGTGGTGATGGATGGTTCCGCCTCTCCTGAACCCCCTGCAGTGCTTTATGGCGGGGCTGGACAGGATCAGGGCAGTGGGGACAGATGGAATGTCACACTTCTGAATTCCCAAGGCAAAGCTTGGTGGAGGTCAGTGATGAGTAGCGTCCCTCAGGGGTCAGTGCTGGCGCTGACACTCTTTAATATCCTCATCAGTGACACTGACAGTGGGGTTGAATCCACTCTCAGCAAGTTTGTTGATGACACCAAGCTGTGTGGTGTGGTCAACCACACAAGGGACAGGATGCCATCCAGAGAGACCCAGACAGACCGAGCAGTGGGCCCAGGAGAACCTCAAGAGGTTCAACGAACGCAAATACAAGGTCTGGCACCT